TTTTTTTTACTGCAAAACATATTTTTTAAAAATATTAGAAAAAAAGTTGTGTAAAATTAGTTTGAAATGAAATAAAAAAAAGGAACCAATATACAATCAATTGGAATACAATGAAATAAATTAATGCAAAATTTAATTAGCCAATTAATTAGCTGAAGTGAAATATGAAAAAGATAAATGTCAATCATTTGTTATTCATATATTTTGAGAAATTTAAGTAATCATTGAATTGCGGTAAAAATTTTTAGAATTTAAAAAAAAATGAATGAAATGTTCGAATAAATTGAATAAACAAATATTGATTAAAATTAACAATTTTAGATACTAATAATTTTAATCGAAATGTTACATGATGATAAAAATTTTTAAAAAATTTGCTCAATCAAATTTTCATTGTTAATTTTCATTTAGATTTGCATAAAATTAATTACCAATTTGATGACATATATTTGACAATGATGTCAACCATAATAGATATAAATATGACTTTATAATATTTACGTATAAATTTACATATAAATTATGTATAAATTTAGTTCATTTAAAGATAACGATAATTAAGATTAGAAATATTCGATCATTTATTTTATATTCATCCAATCATTGGATCAATTCTTTTCCATTCCGAACAAAAACTTTTGAACAGCAATATTTCGTGTAATTTAATTACTGTTGATAATATTATCAGTGATAATATCTTATTGTTAAATTTTTCTTATCAAATTTAATTTAAATTTAAAAATAAAATTTTTTAATTTCAGGTACGACGTCATATGGGTTTAATGATAAATGAAGATGAATGCTCGGATGATAGTCCAATAAGTACACCAATACCTGTAAAGAAATCATTTACAATTGAATCGATTTTACGGCCCGAATTTCCTCAACAACCTTTATTACCATTTATGCATGCTTTTTTACCATTACCATTACCATTACCGTATCATTTGTACAGTAATTATTTTTATGCTTGATCAATTAGTATTAATGTATTAATTACTTAGTTTTTTCTTTCGTACTAATTAGTATTAATTAATTGCATTAAACTTAAAAGAAATTTTGCAATTGATAATATCAATGATTGAAATATTTTTACACTTTTCCTTTTGCTTATCACTTATAATTAAAATAGTAATTATAATTGGAATTTCTTTTTCGATGAAAAATTCTCTCAAAATTATTCCATTCTCATCCTATCATAATGTAAAAACACGATATACCATTTATTGTACATACAGTTAATTAATTATCAGCTAGCATTATGACAAATAATTAATTATTGCTGTATTATAGAAGAATATGTTGACCTTTTTTTTTTTTGCAAATTGAAAGTGACACATAATATGTGATATTTCCTTATAGAAAATATATGTCACTTAAATTATGATCAATTTCTTATCACAATAAATTATGACTCATTTTTTTTTATGGCGATAAATGATAATTTATTTTAATACAACTTATCATGATAAAATTATGATTAGTTTCTTATCTATCACGACAAATTATAATCAATCATTATCATGTTTTATTACGAAATTTCTATAATATGCTAATTTTTGTTGAACAATAATGATTATCCCTTAATATTTTAATCGTACACCCGCAAAATTCTTATCATGGTAAGTTACTGTTACACGGTAAGTTACTGTTACACGTATTTGATAACAATAATTAAA